ATCATCGGACTATACAAAAAAATTATGTTATCAAAAATGAAAGTTTGATTCATACTCAGAGACTGCTGATATATAGCTTCAAGCTGATCAATTATAATATTTTTTATTTCTTATATGGAAAATGGCTGGCACCGTACCAAAAATTAAGGTTCTGTTAAGTTTTCCCCTAGTAAACATTTTAAGTAGTGTTTAGCCAGTGGTTGATGCTAGAAGAAGATGCAAACCCTGTATGAAGAATTAGATTATAAACTAAAATTTTAAGATAACTCATCATACGGTTAACAAAACATCAATTTAGCTAGACAACCGAATACGAAAAACTTGATTGATGAGAAGTCTTACAAAACTGTTTAGAAACACTTATTCAAATACTGAGTACAGCCCAGAAAGATTTAAAAGGGGTGAGGTTGCTATTATCTACAATTAAACACAAGAAGTCTATCATTGTTGGAGTCTTCATAATGCAGTATGCTAAGCTCAGAATACTGGAGTTCTTTTATAATTTTCTTGTCAAGTTGTGTGACGTAAAAATTTTTGAATAATTAGAAACTAACGCAGACTCGCTTGATTTAACTTTTCCCGAAGAAAAATGTTACGACTGTTTTCAGCCAGATAAAAGCGCCTCATTGAAAAACTGAGATAAACTGAATGCAGAGTGAATGAAGTCATTCCTGCCATGAAAATTGAATGAATTCATTCTTGCCTCGAAATTGTTGCAACATTCATAAAAAGCATGAAAAATGGGAGCCTTCATTTTTCAAAGAGAAACTTACGTGTAAAGAGGAGCTCTGTTTATGTAGCAGGACATATTGATGCCATGACAACAAGTCAGATATGTTCCAATTCAGATGCAAAAGTTTAGATAAAAAACTTCCGAAAAACCCGAGAAATGGTTTTATAGCAAAGTACAGTAGAATACTTGATGAGGTAGTTATTTCACATCTAAAAACAGAGGATTCAGAACTTATTTTTATGTTGTTACTACATGTGAACAGACAAAAGAAGGATTTATTTAATTTTACCCAAAATTCCAACTTCAAGATAATGAAATTCATACAAAACCATTGAAAGTATAAGAAAACATCTAATGTAGTAAATCATTTTTGCGGTCGTATTTTGTATCAATTTTGTATAAGTTTGTGATGAACTAATTATTCAAAGCACGGATTAAATGCATTCTTAGTAAACTTTTTTTTCAAAGTTTTTTAAAAGTTTCAGTAAGTTTCACATAAGAACTTTTTGTAGCAACATTTTTTTCATCACTCTACAAAAAACCAGTAAGATTTACTACAAATCTGAATATAAATTTAACTGTTTTGAACTCGAATAGTTCTGAAAAAACTCTTATCATTGACTAATCATGAATCCAAAAAATCTACCATAATGGCAACCTTCTACACTAGACACTTTATACCTCATTATATTTTACCAATAAGGTAATGCGGGTCTAAAATTTTGTTCAAAAGTTTTTTCTATCATGGTACTCACACTTGAACTTTGCCATTTTTATTCCTTATGTTATTACAATACAAACCTTCTATCAATTTTAGTACATAGCTACGTTGATTGGATATCTACAATTTGTTTTAAAACAAGGCTCCCCCTACTTTAACTTGAAAGTTTTATACAAGTACTTATTTTTTGAGATATTAACGGCATTTATTATCTCTTGAGAGGATTTCTTCTAAAAAAACTTTGGTTGAGTTTGGTCTCTAATCATGATTGGCCTTGAGTTGGTACTGATTGCAGATAAAACAGAAACGTATTGTCTCCATCGTTGTGTATCAAACTGTTAAGCTCAAGTTATTAGACCCCTAGATCAGGCCTTCTTAAATATATGGCCATTCGAAAGAAGTCAGTTTGGCCAAATTGAGGTATATTTAAAAACTGTGCCTAGTCTCAAGTGTTTGAAGTTTGGGCTGAGCGGTTCTCACTTGAATAATAACAATAATTGTTATTATAATGTTTTAAACTAAAATCATATCTTTTTTTTCACAGGGAAAAACCATGCTAAACAATTTAAAGTAGAGTCGGAACAATCAAGATTTTGCCATATAACTCTTGAAATTATCGGTCATCCATTTTTCTTTTATTTTTGACGCATGAATCAATGAAGATCAAATTGAGAAAACAATGCCCTACAGACATATTGATTACTTTCATGTATCAAGCGAAACGTTTGTCGGATTGACCACTTTTTGATCACTGCCAAATTCGCAATTAGTGATTTCGTTTAACCGGAGTTGATACATCAATTGGCCAGGGTCGATACTTGATACAAAAAATGTCGATAAAATGGACAGACCACCAGCAAAAAGTTGGACAGCAATCATTTTTGCTCGCATTTTGTCTCTTTTTTAAGTTTATTTGAACACACAATTTTCTCACAATTTCGAAACTGATGTGTTTTTTTAGCGAGGCCAGACTGTGCATTGGAAAAGCGCACAAACTGGCGCCTGTCTTTTTGGAACCCAAAGACAGTTCTTGAAACTTATTACACAATGACAATGGATTCAGCTTACAAAATATCCGTGGAATCTCCGCTCAACTATGTATGGCGTAAAATTTGACGGCACACTTATTTTGTCACGGATATTGTAAGGAGCAAAAATAGCTAGTCGTCTTCCGGACTCAGCAAATTGTACGTGGATTCCATAAAAGTAAGTGGATTCCGCTAATATTTTGCAGATTTTGCTCACACTTTGCGGGTTCGATTTCATTTTGCGGATTCCGCTGACAGTTGCTTTTTACGCGACAGTTAAGCTTTACTATACGAATATTTTTTTGTTTGCTTGTGGAACTTGTGGAGTTGTTGCGTTTTCGCAAGCTTTCTTGTTTTTGGAGCGATTTCGAGCAATACCGAGGCTTAGCTACCACTTTGTGGAATCCAGAACATCAAAGAAGATCAAAAAAAGATAGTGGATTGCTATTCATAAAATACACAGTTTTGCCTCGTAATGAGACAAATGAAAAAGATGAGACTGGGTGAAATTTATGTGGTCAGATTTACCTAACGGCTCTGGACATTTATGCCGGTAACCTAACCCATGGAAAATTTTGAGCAAACTTGAATGCCTTCCACCAACTTTTCTCAGTCAACTGATAGTTTGAGGCAGTTTTGATCCTGAACTGGATAGAAAAGCTAGAAATTTTTTTTTTAAAGTGAGTAAAAATTTTCAGAAAAAAAATAACTTCCGCTTATCACGAAAATTAACTTGGGCTGAATTTTGAGATTGAAAAATTTCATTTAATGAGTGGAAAAATTGAGAAAACAAAAAATCGTTTCTCGTTTTCTGTTTCTTTTTCAGCGCAATAAAGCGTAATGAAATTTTTTTGATAGATTGCAGGAAAAATCTTTTGTCGCTAAAACGATGAGTCATCCTTCAACAATTTTTAGTTTAACAGAATCTATATCACCACTTAACGACAGAATTTAGTACTGTCCTAAATTTGTGATTATTTCCCTCGCCTTCGGGTTTTTGTCTCGGCTTGCATCTCTGATGATTTTCAAGATTGGGTCCTTCTCAATGTTAGCCTCCACTGTTTTAAGAGAGAGTACGTCAGGATGGTCCACTTTTCTCACCACTTTGCTGTCCGTCGGTATCACGGAATATATCTACTTGTCTGTGTTTACAAGGGGTAAGAAAGACCGGGAAATTTAGATGGAAATGAGATGATTGTATTGAGTTTCTTTGATGCTGTATCTGATTGGGGTAGTTTTTCTTCAGGTGTGATTTCAATATCTGAGTCAGAGCTACTCGAGCCAAAGGTTGTTGATGGCTTCGTTAGATTACTGAAAATTAGATTAAGGTTAAAGTTGCCTGATTGTGTTGAAATATTTACAATTGCCGTGCTGTTATCGGTTTATCTGGTGTTACAGTTGAAAAAATTTGAGCCATATGCTTGCAATGTGAAATATCGAAAAAACATTTTGGATTGATAAAAAATTGAAAAATTTGAATTGAGCACTTGAGAACGAAGTCGTATCTAGCCAATGAAATTGTAAAGCTTATGTTAGATTCATTCTTCAACTACTCAGAAAAAAAATAAAAACAACTTCGTTCACAATCGGCCAAAACAGACCATAAAGTCGACCAAGGTCGACCAATTTGACCAGAGTTGATTAAGCGCAGCAAAAGTTGTCTACTGTCGAGCAAGGTTGAGATTTTGACATTGTTCGATCCGCAGAATCATGGAAAGAAAACAGTAAACCCTATAAATTAATCGGTCACTTTCAATCCCCGTAATTGTAACAGGCAATACAAGTTAAGATAACGGTGACAGTTTTAGTTCACATATACTAGGATCACATCAAACTGAAAGCCTGTTGTTGACCAATTATTTTTATTAGGAGGTTTCAAACGTTCTTGAAATTGCAATTAGCAATGCGGATATGATGAAGTGAATGATAAAAAACACTCGGTCCAGAAAATAAGCGAGATATTTCCACTCATTTTGCATTTGCTCCCCGTCGTCATTAAGTACCTGGACCACATCTATAGATTTGACATTGCTCATCTGTTGCAGTCCGAGAATAAATGTGAATCGACTCGAGATAATGACTCGCACCAAATTCCACACTCGTCGACCACTAGTGTGGTGAATATTGACAACTAAAATGGCATTTTAAGAATTCTAAAAAAAATTAGGCTTCCTAGGTCAAAAAGCAATATGGCATGAACCAATGCATTGTTTTGCCAGTTTTTATAAATGTTAACAAAATTTTATTTCATTGAATTTTTAAACATCTTTAAATTAAGTTTGATTTGCAGCCTAATATTTTTTTTGATATCTTGAATCCCATTTTTACCGAAAAACTTAATGAAAGTTATGAAAAAAGTTATGAAAAGTTATGAAAGTTATGAAAAAATGACTCATGATAGCTATGTTGTTCTAAAAGCACCATACTCAGTTTGATGATTTGTTTGTAGTATCTAATTTTGCCACACTAGAACATAGCTCTTCTCTACTTATTCGAATTATTAATCTGTTCTACTTGCCCAAGACAGCCGACAGACAGTTTGCAGACAAATGTACGAACACTAGCCGCATAGTTTTTATTGCCAAGGGAAGATTCACGGAGCTAAAAGGGAGCATGTCAAGGAGACTTCCGAAAATGACCATCTGAGCCAGCAGAACTGTGACCGCGAACGAAACCTATGCAATCAATCAAAATAAACTGAAACAATCCATTTGAAAAAAAAAAACAATTTGTATCTTTTTAAAATAAAATTATTTAATATAAGAGATATAAATTTTTAAGAGCTACAGATCTGTATCGAACAATTTGAGTGCGATCAAAACCTATGCAATCAACTATAAAAAATGAAATTATCCCATTTTAAAAAAGTTTCTAAACGTTTAATAAAAAGTTGTATATATTAGTCAAAATTGAATGGCCAAAATGTCAAAAACTAGTTGATAAAAATTTGCCACAGTACTCACCCAAAAGGCCCGTCATAGCGGGGACCAGCTCGATTTTTGAAGAATCCAGAAAAAAAAATTTCTAAATGTTCACTGAAATTACGCAAAGTCTCAGGTCACATCTTTAAATGCTCACTGAGACCTTAAATATTGGCTTAAGCGCCTCCTTAACTTAATGAATTCGTCTTTCAATGAAAAAATTTTGATTTGGGTTTGTACCCAAGTTCCCGGATTGACTTCTATACAAAAAATGCTAAAAACCTTCAAATTTTTATTTAAATACTTTTGAAAAATTTTGTTGCCGTTTTTTCTTGAAAGAAAAGTTTTTTTTTGTTACGAAACTGTATGATACGAACTTCATAAAAAACTGTATGATACGAACTTCATAAAAAACTTTTCAAGAACAGGAGAATTTGATTGCTTTACGTTTTATCCGCTAAGCCTTCTTTGTTAACAAACAAATTGCTTCTGAAAATCTTTTTTTTTGGCGTGCAAAGTTTTCATATAATTGTCTACAAAACAATCGAGAACCAGTATTCTTACACAGAAAAATCAAAAATCACAAAGAAGGCTTTCTGTGATGCTAGAACTATTCAGTTACAGTTTTAGATAATATCATTCAAATCTTAATCTGTCCAAAAAATAGGCCACAATTTTCAACCACTAAAGTTTTCGAAAGAGATGCCTCATAGCCATAAGCAAAAACAACACTGCTCGTATCAGGGCGAAGCCCTGAATGTTGCGACTATTTTTTAAGGTCAATGAAGCAGTATTAACATGAGTAAGTTAAATGTAGAAAAACAAGAAAAAAAATAAAACAAAATTTTTTTTAATTTGAGATTTTTTGTGAAAATCATCCCCCACACACAATTTTCACTAAAGAGGTACAAAGTTTGTACAAAATCGATGGTGGCGAATAAGCTTCCTTCAACTGGAACAATTTTTTAGACGCAATAGTGCAAAAATTATTAGTGCGAAAATTATCGCGCGTTAATTGTCCCAAATTGACCAAAATGACAATCTGTAAACCCCCATAACTTTACAAAAAAAATCACAAGTGAAATATCTTTTCAAATTTAGGCTCAGAACAAAACTATTTTTTTAATGATATAAAAAAAATTCCATTAAAAATGGTTATTTAAAAGTCGAAAATTGTCTGAAGAAGAAAAACCACCCCGATCACAAATATTCCGGTACTTATATATAAACCTTTTCACCGGATTCCACCGGGATGAAGAAAGTGAGGGAAGACAGAAAATACAGAGCTGCAAATGGAAAGATGAGAGCAGCGGTAAAGAACTCAGGTCTGCGTCGGATCCTGATCTCTGAAATCACTCCATTCAAGATGTTCCCATTCCATATTCTAGTTTCCGTTGCCATTATCGCTGGAAACTCCAGAATCCATTGGTCATTTATCATGTAATTATCAAGTGGCAACTCGTATTTCTCAGATTCCGCATTCCAAAAGCTCGCTTCAACGGCTGAAAAAATAGCTATGTTGAAAACCAAGTCTGTGGCTAAATTGCGTGCTAAAACTTGGAGTTGATTATCAGAAAGCTCAATTCTCAAAGTAACCCAACATGATGATTAGAAAATTTGTTCTCGTTCCAGGCTATTTTGATACTCTAGGAGGGACAACGAAAGTAGAAAACTACACTAAGTGCTGCCAACCCATTCGGTAGTTGCTGCTCGTCGACAAGAACTGTGTGGCTTTCAGTTGACAAGTCTGCTGATCGGCAGGGAATTTGGAGACATCAAAAGCACAGGACATCTTCATTGTCAAGAGAGAAGAATATGCAACCACTGTACCGTTGCTGTATACTCCCTGGCGACTGAAGCCACTGTACGTCTGCTCAGTCGTCTGCAACATCACTAAATATACAAAAAGCCACCAATATCCTGATATTTATTGTAAATTGAGTTATTTTTCAAATTCACAAATGATAAAACTATCAAAAAACAAAATCTTTTCTGTTTTTTTTAAAGTTTTCTTCTCATATGCAGGTTTTTTTAAATACAAATTAGTTAATTTCATATCTAAAAACTCCAGTAGAAGAATAGCCAGTTTTTATCTTCGATTTTTTTTGTTCTGACTTTTTTGCCGTCTTTTCTGACAGGTTATTTAAATTATATTAATCAATCAACTCCAAATCTGTCTGGAAAGCTGAAAAGCGATATAAGAACACCGTTTTTGTAAGAAATAATAATTGTTTGTTTGATTTTATATAGCAGCTCGAATCACGACTGCAATGGTTTCAATATTATACGTCAATCACTTCAACTGATGTTTATGATTTGCATGATAAATACTCCAAAAGGAGAAATTCATTCACCCCACCTTGGGGTTCATCAGAGCAATGCTTATAATTTTACAGTTTATAGAGGAAAAATGTGAAAAAGTACATTTTTACAAAAATTTACCAATGTCGGGGCTCCAGAAAGTTCCTGCTGGTACCAAAATTATATCCATAGATCCATCTCCATATAAACTGGGATCCCAAGCAGCACTTGGTGATGTGTAGTAGACGTAGAGAAAAAACTTAATCTCCCCCACTCCATTTTTCACATCCACGTTCAGTATTTGGAACAAGTCCATGTACACATACACTGTTGGGCAACAATTTTTAGAATTGAGGCTCTAAAAAAAGTAAAACTTATTTATTGACATTTTTTTTCTTGATATGCTTTCCCTCAACGAGTCGACACCACCCATCCACCAACCAGCATCTCCAGTGATTACGCCATCCATTTTTGGACTTCAAAATTTTACCGGCTGGTGTTTTCATGGCGTTTTCTAAGACCGTCGAAAAAATATTAGATCCACTGATTGAAAGATAGCCTATTTATTTCGGTATTCGTAAAAATATTCGTGATAGTGTCAAAATTTTATTTTTTTCCTCAGCAACAATAAAATGGAAAAGAAGCTGTAACAAACACAATCAAACTGAAAAATGGTTTTTTGCTTAAACTATATAGACTGATGAACACATTACTCAAACTATGTCTTAACCATTTGGTCATGACTCTTGCCTATCGGAACTTCGTGAAATTAAATAATAACCATGAGCTGCTTAAGGGGAAGGGGAGAGTGTTGCGTTCGCTTCCATCTTTGTTGTTTCGACTCCCAAACACTCTTTGCATATTTTTGACATGAACCATTCTTCTTTTTTTATCACTCTTTGCATATTTTTGACATGAACTATTCTTTTTTTTTAAAAGTTTGCACCCCTCCCTTGAGATCCGCGCCTGATGATAACAAACATAAAAAACATTGACACAAAAACAGGTCCTCTGGGATACTTAGGGGAGCCTCAAGCTTTTTTGATCCCTGTTTTGTTGCTCATATCAGCAGGAGGCATGTATTTCGGAACCACAGCAGTCAAGTTGTCAATAAGTTCTCGCTCGAAGTCGACTCCATTTGACGCAATATTTTGAGTAGATCTGATGAAGAAAATAACGGTTCCCAGGAAAAACGGATCAAAGATCATTTCGAGTTTTTTTTTCGCTTTCAGATTGAAGTGATCAAGTTAATAATTCAAAATAGAAAACGGAAAAATAAAAAAGCTATTTCAAAATAATGAAATTTGTGACTGCAGCAGCTGTTTAAATCAAATGTCTGTTTTAAGCTTCTTTAACTGTAATTATGACATTTTAAGCTGCTTTTAACATTAAAAAATACAATAAACTTATATCAGTCGAATCAGCCAGAAAATCTTTCTCACTATAGCCCCTTCAGAATTACGACTCCCAAAAAATTGCAGAAATGAGTTAAATGACTTTTAAAAAACCTCCGAAAAAGTTTGAAAACTTCTTGCAAAAAATACTTTTCTCTTAAAGATTTTGCGAAAAACGTGATCTTGCATTAAGTTCAAGAATATTGCAAAATCTTCACTCATAGTAATACCAACCCATTTTGTTTCAGAACCTGAAGCCTGGCGTGTCATTCTGATCAATCGATCAGCGTCATTCGAATATTTTACAGACCATTTATCCACCAGGGAAAGGACAGTGCAGCGCTTGGCCATATATGGAATTCACTTGGTTGAAAATCAAACATAACTTAATTATTTTTCAATATTTCTCTTGCAATAACAATTTTTCTGCCGTGATTTGAAAAAGATATTTCAAAAAAATTTATAAATGGTAAGTTAAGAACTGAAAAATCCTTAATTTTTATTTCCCATTTTAGCATTTGTTTTCCTTTTGAACTGAAAATATAGAAAATTTGATGTGTTGGCGTTCAATAGGTTTGCAATCAGGTTGATATTGATTATTAGTTTTAATTAATTTTGAGGCAAGCTTATCATTTTTTGTATGAAGTTACCGTACGGTGAATTTTTACAAATGATCAGGTAAATAATGCCGTATCATTAATCTATATTCAGTAGTGATTGTACTAGACTCATTTTTATTTTAATTTTTTTGTGGCCAATTAAGACCTTAGGTCGCTGAAGGCAAATAAAAAACTTTGTGATGCTCAAAAACTGTTTGTAGGTTATGCTCAGAGGCAGTTTTGTGAGATAGTGGCGGTATAGTTGTTTCATGTGGCATAGCTTTGTCCCCCAGCGAGATACACAGAAAGGTTGAAACGCTCCAACTTTTCTGGGAAGGGGGGTGGATACCACCTCAGGGATTCGACCCCCTGCCGACTTAAAGGGTCCCCCCTTGTACTATTTTATCATATCCATTTTTGGCTGACGGACCCAAAATTTTTCTAAAGGCGCCTTTGGCGCCAGTAGATACTAACTTTGGGGGATTGCGCGCCGAAAAAAGCGAAGTTTTTAGTAAGCAGTTTCCAAAAAGTGCCTAAAACGCTATTTTTGGCCTACTTTTTCAAAATTTAGCCTGCGGCGCAGAAATTTTGGTCAAAACAAGGTCTTCTTAGTGCTTTAATATATATACAAATTAATTCACAATAATATTCAATTTATTAATTCATAATTTTTCGTTATTTTTAGTATCACTTTGTAAAAGAAAAACACTGAGAAATCAGTGCAATAAAAATACAACCTGTTTCAATCAAAACTATAATTGTGAACAAAAATTGATTTTCAACATCTTCGAAAATTGTGACGTCTCTTTAGTCCATGTATATCGCGCAACAGGTTTCCAATCGACCAGGCTTCATTTCTGAATGATAAAATTGGAATATCAGTACATTGCCTTTTCTTCTTCCTGGCCGTCAAAAGCATCAATGAGCACAAAACGTAACTTAGATAAACCAAACTCCACCCAAACTCTTTTATTCCTTTGCTTTCTGATGCTTGAGGTGTCTCTTGTTGCTCATAAGTCTGATTCTGAAATTTTCTGTTCACTCAACTTTAATTTTTGCAGGTTGATTGCATCTAGCCAAGAGTAGCGCCCACTCAGTTTTATACGTCGTTTTAGATCTCATAAACCTCTCTTTTATTGGGTGACAATACATGTAAAAAATACTTCCAGTTTCAAGATAATTGCGAGCGTCACACTTTTTAGTTCATTCCTTCATGCAATCGCCCTAATTCATTTGATGACATAGTGGTCTAAACTAATCGGGACTCGAAGGTGCAAAAATGTCTTTTAAAGTCTTTACCTCTTTTGAATGCGAAAAGAATGTCCCGTGTGCTCTTTTGTACATAAAGCGGTATTTTAAAACAAAAATTTCCTAATTTCGGGTCCTCTCGAGATTTATCTTTTCACCATCAACGTTCTAGAGCCCATATCACATGGTGTTATGCTACAATGTTCTCTGCGGAAAGTTTTCCTGATAAAAACTGGATCATGTTCCCTTGTAGCTAGGAAACATTTGTACGATATTGCTTTTGATGCAAAATCTTCATCTATGGTACATTTTTTCTTTTTCTAAGCGCACCATCTTTTGATATGCCCGAAATCTATGATCTCTCATGGCATGCCCTGTCATTTAGATACATGTGCTGTCAGTTGATTTACTTACAACCATCGTCGTGAACTTCCAATTCACAATTTTGATTTCTTAATCTATATGTAATAAATACAGACTGTTAGAAGTGTATATTATGGTAAATTTTAAATAATCAACCATTCCTTCCAGTTTTTTTGAAAAAGTTATGCAATCTTTTCAGTTTTCGCACTAGGGTTTTTTAACACAATTCGAAATTTCTTCCAGAATAACTACTCCGGGAATTTAAATGTCAAATCAGAATAACTAGTTTTTCAAACCCATTCCTGTCCCAATGAATTGTGCACTCACCCGATTCTTTTAATTAGACTGTTCACACTCGCGACAAATGATGCTTCATGTAGGTTGATGAGATGCACGGTCGATGATCATGAAAGAAATCAAAAAAAGAAAACGATATTTTGGCAGAATTTTTTTTGGAGCTGGAGTAAAACGTTAAAAGCACAGGCAAGTCAGAGTAACTAGATTACTGAACCTTGCTGTCCAATCAGTTTGTAAATTCAATCGTATCTTACATTTAAGGTTGTTTTGCTCGAGAAAAACCATCTGAGATTCAATAATAAGAGAAGTTGTTGGCTCTTTCCTCTTGCGCTTTGACAAGGCTGCTTGAATAGGCAACAACTCAATTACTTTTGTAGACTGTAGGAAACACGTTGACAAGTTCGAATGACAAGTGTTTTTTTTGTTCGGAACTATGTAATTCAACCGTCCTTTGGAATTGAACTTTTGAAGCGAACATCACAATCTTTTTGTCTGTTCTATCTGTGTCTGAAGTAGCAGAACTGCTGATCAGTCTTTTTTGAAGCCTCTTGTCTATAATTTACCTTTAAAACCCTGTTGCTTTTATCTTGATGCCTTGAACAAACTGTTTTCAGTTTTTTAATGAAGCAAAATGAAGCAAAAGGAAGCGAAATGACTTCGGCGGCTTACACGTGGAATTTGCTTCTGGTGCAGAGATCGTATAAACTTTTGGGGTTTCCATTTTTCCTTGCCATGAGTGCGTGTGCAAGATCTTTAAAGTTTGTCCTGAGTTCTCCCCTATCCATTTTTATAGGCGTATGAACAAAGACAGAAAGACGGTCCCAAACAACCAATCGCGTTCATACCTTCATAACTTTTCGAGATGTGGGACCGATGGGTGAAAAATCAGTTATTTAGAAGTCTTTTTTTTAACTGCTCTGAAGTCACGTTACTATGAATTCCAACCCTAAAGGACGTCTTTAGCTGTGTTTTCGGAGCAACTACGTTTTTCTAAAAACTCATCATGATGTTTTTCAGAAAATTTTAACCGAAACCGAAATGATACTGAATTCGATACCCTTGACAATTGTAACTGACTACCAAAAAAAACGACGAGCCATTGACGCCAAATCAATCTCGCATTCAACGACCATCCACCAGCCTTCCACCAGGAGTTTTCAGCGACAGCATGCCATTAACTTACAATAAATGGACCCACGTTCAACAGATGATGAACCACCTGTGGACGCGCTTGAAGAAGGAGCTCTCACCTTCACTAATGTAAGGGTCCAACTGGAATGAAATGCAGCCACCATTGAAGGTTGGAAACATTGTGTGGGTACTCGAAAATCTCACACCGCGAGGTATAGGGCCGATTGGACCTTTGGTGGAGGAACATCCAGGAAGAGATGGCACAACACGAGTGGTGACCGTGAAAACAGACCCGCTATGGCTCTTGTTATGGTTTTGTGATTAATTTTTTGCAACGCTTTTTGCGCCATTCCAGACACTTCGGGGCCCCCGGGAATAGG